CAATCATATTAACCTCATGCACCAGCACCACCGCCATTGGCAGAAGACAAAACCACCCCTTCCACTTGCACTGCTAATAAATATTATCACTGCCTGCAACAGGCTTGCTTACGTATTCGTATTTCCATGTGCATAAAACATATAGGGGCTGTTCAGGATGTTAGGGAAGGGAAATTGTCTTGGATAGTACATATAAATTATTAATTTTTCTAGATAAGAAAGCAATTAAAGAATGTGCAGGATGTAGTGCTTTGGAAGTCAAGTAGACGAGTTTTCAAGGTAGATTATTTTTTATGTTTCGTGTATTATTATTTTTGTTATGCTTACAAAATGCCGACTGCAACACCAAATATCTACAATAAACCATAAATGGACCAATCATGCTTATAAACTGTTATATTTTTTCAGAAATGGTGGAAAACTTGAAGAACATCATATGTAGGATATTTCACATATTCAACACGAATTTATTTTATTCTTAAAATTACGGAATGCAGTGTATTAAGTTTAATGCTCACAGATTTCTGTAATAAGGACTCTGCTTCAGCATTCAATCAGCAAAAACCTGAAATACGTGTTCAGTACCGATATAATAATGGAATACAACGTAGACGGAACCCACGGAAAAAAGAGCCTCAAAACACATAAAGTGGTATGTGAGTTTTTTTTGGCAATGAACTTTTACATAATAGCAAGATAAATGTACATATTTTAATTAATGTATTTTGTTTCAGAATCTCTAATGAGCTTTGTTAGCGCCGATGAACCAGAAACACAATTAAGAAGAGCACTCCAATTAAATAAGAAGCAGTTTTTTCAAAAAAGGGCAATCGCGGGAAAATCTTTGCAGCGACTGGGCACATCAAATTTAAATCACTTGTTTAACTAGCTTTATTATGTTTTTAAAGTGAATACCCAACGTTTGATTTTTTTGTTAGTTTTTTTTTTTAAGAATTTGTGTTAGTTGTAATTAGATAAGTTGACCAACTGTCCTCCTTTGAGGAGAATTGTCCTACTCAAACGTGATTTGTCCTCCCCAAAAATATTGTCCTTCGCTATTCTTCTTTTGAGCAAAAATGTCCTCCTTGTGCTCCTTCTCAGTTTTTATAGCAATGATGAAATTTTCAAAAAATTTCGTTCGGAATATTAGTATGTCCTAATCATACACAATCATTGTATGTAAAAGGAGTTAAATTTTTCAACTTTCAGTTAAATGATGTAAACTTTTGTTTCAACTGACCGCCTGTGATAGTTGAGCAGTGTAAACGCCTTTTAGCCTTAATCAATAATATATAATACGGCTTTCCCACGGCACCCCAATTACGTAGTTCGCTCTCTCATTCGTAATTCGCACTACAATTACCCTTCGAATTACGTAATTCGCCATACAAAATTTTGAGAGCGCATTACCTTATTTGTTGGTAATTCAGATCCAACTACCATGCGAATTACGAACAAATCGCTGCCGTCTCTAATTTTTATCGGAAATTTATCGACAGTTCACAAATCAAAACTGGCACTTTTTCTGAGTAGATACGAAAAGTAAAGTTTATACCTGTATACATAACCAATTTAATACGGAAACTTATAAATTTTTAGCAATTGCTTACATTTTGTAGCGAAGAAAAGAAAAACAAAACACAAAGATAGAGAACTGTCAAATTGAATTAAGAATGTGCTCGTGGGAAAGGGGTAATTCTATGTCCCCACTAGAACTGCCAATTGCGTAGTTCGCTTCTGAATTACTTTGGTGAATTAACCCGTTTACACGACTCATTCCTAATTCGATTTGACAATTCGTTGTGTTTTTCCTTCATTTTCTCCTTTCATTGTTCTGATTTTTTCTATTCTCTCTTGCTTTGACAGCATTTCCGATTAAAATTAGAGACGGCAGCGATTTGTCGAAATTCGCATGGTTATTGGATCTGAATTGTCTACAAATGAGGTAATTCGCTCTCAACATTTAGACTGGCGAATCTCGAAATTCGAAGGGTGATTGGGGCGCCAATTACGATTGAGAGAGCCAATTACGAATGGGAGAGCGAATTACGTGCAGTGGGAACTTAATATAATTCGCGATCGTAATTGGAGGATCGAACAAAGTAATTCACGGTGCCGTAGGAAAGCCGTATTACCTTTTACAGCACTAAAAGACTAGCTAACGGGGCGCCTTCACAGGCGAAAATTATTGCTTACCACAAGTCATTTTGTTTGCTGCTTATCAGTGGCAATATATGTGTGTGGGTATTTTTCATCTTGATAAAAGCATTTGTAAGTTGGCTTAAAACCAGTATGTTCGTTGCATTGGGGCGCAAATATGCTTAAGAAAATTAAAAAAATGTGTTATTTCACATCCAAGTACATAATCAAAAATAACACAGGTCCCTTGGCGGGTCCAGACTTTTTTTGTGGGGGGATGTTTTTCGGGAAATTTGCCACTTATTCATATAACTGTAAACGAGTCATTTTTGTATATATATGTACATTAGGGTGATCCAAAATAACTAACCTGGTGAATTTTTAGCCTCAAAATTACCTATTTACTGAGAAGGAAATTCTCCCATTTGGAAAAATATTTGTTTTCACTTTAAAAAGTGTCAATGGGCATTTGAAATTATTTACGTAATAAACTTGTAAAATAATTTGTTTTCATTAAAATAAATTTTGCCCCGTTAAAAAAGTTATAAAATAGAGATAAAAGTGTTTTCTAGGCATATTTTTGTAGGGCATTAAATTCTCTAAAAAATTACCCTGAAATTTGTTGGTTTAGAGACGATTAAAAGTATTAAATATGTTAAGGAGATTGCTGAACGAGGTATAGCGTTGATACAATATAAAGGAACTATGACGAAAGACGAAGAACGAAAGAAATCTCTTTTGCAAGTAATACAATTACCATTAAATAACTAAACAAATAATTTTTAAGCAAAAAACACAACCGACTGCAATTCTCATATACAAATTTAGGATTACCGTTAATTTTTTCATGATCCAATGATCGCATCTAAACCAAATTAGTATGCGGTAACATAAATAAAAAATATTTCGACGAATTGATAACCTTCTCTTTATTTTGAAGTCGGTTAAAAATAAATACTCAAAACTTGTTAATACTATGTGGCGGTCTTATAATTACACTGTGGAACAAATTCAGGTTAGCAAAAGTTAGGTCGATTCTGAGAGTGAGGGGTGAAAACAGAGGTTAAATTAGAAGACCCGTATCGCGGCGTTTGTTTATGTTAGTTCGAATTTTTTTTTAATCGACCTACCAACTTTGCAGTCAAATGCCGATTTTCAGCATATTGTTTATATGGCTTTTTGGCTATAACTCGTCGACTAATTGATATTTTTTCAATATGTTAAAGCCTAATTATTGCTAGAGACCTGTGCAACAATTAAGATTTAAAAAAAAAATTGATTTAGAAAATTTTTGTAGTGCTTATGAAGCAAAATGTTGGACTTTTTTTTCATGCTTTTTGAACATATTTTCCACAAAACTAAGTCTTTTTTCTTTCTGTTTGATCTATAATATGCTTCTCAGTTTCTTCAATAAATTTCATTTGANCATTAACAACCCCTTCCTGAATTTTGGCGTTACTTAGTCTTGGGAAAGCAGTCATTAAAGGACTTTTGGGTAAAGAACGCAAAGACAACTACAGGCAATCTGTTGCAAACATGTTGGCAGCTTTCGATGAAATTGGGGTTAATATGTCGTACCAAATTCATCTCTTGCGTCGGCATCTTGATCAACTCGCTCAACAGTTGCCAACTGAATCTGATGAGCAAGGCGAACGTTATCACCAAACTGTGCTTGCATTTGAAATAAGGTAACTATGGAGTGTGCATATTTTGAATTCCTAGATTTTTCTAATATCTTTGCCAGAGTGCACAATTTAAACATGTTAACGATTGAAAACTATTTTCGTTTCAGGTACAGAGGAAAGAAATCTCCAGATGCAATGCTCGCTGAAATTTGTTGGTGGTATAAAAACACCTTTGAAGAAGAGGAAGACGAGGAAAAAGAGGAAGAAGGGGAAGACAAAGATGAAATTCCAGAATATCTGTTGGACGAAATTATCGACCTTTCTGATGATGATGACGATGACCAAGATATTAGAGAGAGCAGTGATGTTGATCCACAGCCGCCTGCTAATCGGCAACTGGCCAAATCATTAATTTAATTTATTTAATTTTTTTAGTTAAAACTTTTCATAACTAACATTTCAAAATTATATTTCTTGCCATATTTTTATAATTTCTTTTTCAATGTTTCTTCAAAACCAACACTGTAAAAATTGGTACATAAGAAATGAGAAGTAAATTAATATTAAGCTGGAAAACGCAAGTTTTGTATTATGATTGTTTTCTTTTCAAATGAAATTTATTGAAGAAACTGAGAAGCATATTATAGATCAAACAGAAAGNTGTATTATGATTGTTTTCTTTTCAAATGAAATTTATTTAAGAAACTGAGAAGCATATTATAGATCAAAGAGAAAGCAAACAAGTAAGAAAGTCTAAGTTCGGGCGGAGCCGAACATTAAATACCCGGCGCAAGTATTAAATATATGTTTTTTCACCTTTCCGAAACCTACCGCTAGATGGTAAGCCGGGGTGTATCAATTTTGAGTAAATTA